ACCTATTTAAAGTGACAGTACGGCTAAAAATACATTCACTCATAGCACTTCGCTAATAAAGTTCGGAGTAGTTGATTTGTTCGATTATTCGCGACCAACAACAACACTTAACACTTCTGCATATGTGATGGAACTAAAATTGACTAATCTAATACAATAAGGGTGTAAAAGCCACAGGTGTAACAAAAAACTATGCGTGTCAAGGTCAGATCTATTTCTCCCTTTCCCATTTTTAATATGAATGACTAATAGAAGGTGCCTATAATAAATTAAAATTACCTGAATCTCACCAAATTCCGCATTGCTGCACTGCACTGCTAGATAATTTAACTGATAATAACTGAGATTTATAGCCCAGTCGCCCAGTGCGGTTGTTTTTGTGCGCCGTTTGCCAGCGCGCGCATGCTTCATATGGGCGTATACATTTCTACCACAGAATATCGCGCAGAAGGAAGTTGGCGATGAAATGAAAGCGTTTTGCAGACGTAGAAGCCCTCCAAAAGGCTTGTACCGACATCCCGAAGGACATCTCGGCCGACGGTCTAAAACACTCATCCGATATGCTTTTAGACCATGCAAATCGATGTATTTTGAATAAAATAAATCGGTTTCGCCAAAAAAACTGTTTGTTCTTATTTTTTAAAAATTGAAGTTTACTTTGGAAAAAACAATTTTGAAATTTTTTTTTTTATTTTTTTTTCGAATTATGAACGTTTTTTGACGAAGAAAATATAGATTATTGCTAAAATAACATTTTTAACTTAAAAAAATTAATAAAAAGGGAAAACTTACTTATTACATTAAATTTTAGCAAAACGACAAAAAACATTCCGGGCATTAGGAAAAAAAAATCGCAGCGTTTTGAAATTATCAGGGTTTCCTTAGTTTATTCATTATTTGCCAGTTATGCCAAGTTATTTAATTATCCCTAATTATGCAATTTTTTACTTTTTTTTCTAAGCAATATTTTCACTGAAAACATTTTTTTTTTATCAAAAACCCATAATTACGACTTGTAGAGAATACTTTGCAGTTTCCAAAACCCTGCTTGGATTTTCTGCACGGCCATTATTTTCCGAGTAATTGATGGCCAAAGTCAAAAATGATTGCTTTGATCAACGGTAACTCGGCGACAAATAATCGTACAAGGCTCCGGAACCGCTCAAATTGAAGAGAATTAAATTATCTAAAAGAGCTTTAGATAATTTAATTCTCTAAAAAATTTTAAACTGCAGATCTGAAAACTACACTTGAAGCTTCAATTTCCTTTTTTTTATTCTCTCTACGACCATTTCCCTCCAAGTTACAGCTCATTGAAAATCACCCAAAATTTAGGGATTTTATTAATATCCCTTAATTTCTGTGCCTAGTGTACCTATTATCGAGATGTTTTAACAACCCACTGAGAATAGTAAGATACTGTTTGATATTTGTGTATATTTTTATTTACGTAGTTTTACTCTTTCCTTTAATTTTTAGTCGCACCAAATCACGTATATTTTGATTAACGGTTAATTTTAAAAATTTTCTTGTGGTCTACGTTTTTTAGTCGACCGAAGGATTTCGGTAAAAAAGTCCAAGGTGCAGGCTAGAATTAACCTTAAGTTTCATGTATAATTGTCGGTTTCCGTCAAACATATTTTTTTCCTCAGCGCTTGGTAAGCAGAAATTGTTTGTTTATCGTTAATGTAAGAAATGTTCTCAAATGAGATAGCAAACATTCAGTAATTCTGTCTTTTAATTTATATTTATCATTTCATCAAGGTAGCAAGTGAATGCTTAGTTTACACTTTTGTTTAGAAAGGACCTTGAAATCTACGTTTGGACTCCATTCCAGTAGAAAAAAAAGTCGAAGTTATTTTTGCTGAATCCTGACAGCATTCTATTTTATTTAAATATTTATTAGTAACGAATTTAAATATTGGAACCTTCTACTCTGTTACCTTTCTATTTGTATGAAACAATAACAAATGTGATTATACGTACCACATTTGTAATGTTTTATTCTAAGTGTTACCTAATGATAATCAAGGTTATTTGTAGTTTCGGTGTCAGAGTAGTGCAAGTAGTTAATATACATTTCTAAATATGCATGAGTTACATTCTCTTTTATACATTGTAACCATACATCTCCGACTACGCTACAATATTTTCCCTGTCAGCATATTTGTTCTTGGGTATTGTTGCACCGAGCTAGTTTTTTTTCTTTGGAACAATTCAGAACATCGGTAAAAATAATTCACGCGCCCGTACATTATTTCTAATTGTTAAGAACTCTTTTCCGCCAGCTCATACTTAGGTTTACCTCACAGGTTAGGAATCCGGGCGATTTGAAAAATGCATGAAGCAACAATTTATTTTTGAGGGTCCTATTACGAAAGCGGTGAAATAATTCTCGTGAAAATTTGAAGGACACCATTTTGGCAGACGAAATTGTTTTTCTCTAGACTGTGTCCCCGACTTTCGTTTTAAGTGTATGTAATAATAAATATGATCCATCTGTCGCATTTTAGTGCATCATAAAATCCATTCGCCAGGGTATCTGTCTATTAAAAATATCAGTTATTTAAAATGTTTTAATGTATCACTAAAACTTAGACTTTTGTTTCACATTGTTTGAGGGAGGGTTGTCTAGAATGAAAGCTTTGTGACTTCGAACATTTTTATTTCCATTACAGGGTTACAAACATCTGAAACACTCAATAAATCGTTAAATCAGAAAAAAGATTTATCGAAAATATGGTAGTAAACATTTATATATTATATAGACGCACATTCATATAAATAATTGTAGTATCGTTTCTTTCATATATTTTGGGTAACACTATGTTTATATTACTCCTTTTTCTTAAATAACATATAGACATTGGCACGATAAGATTAAATACTAATCCATTTTTACTTAAGTTTGTATTCAAAGATGATAAAGATGTAAAAGCATTTAGCTCTAATTGCCAATGATACCTCAACAACATACAATATATAGTAATAACAAGTTATTGTCTTTTTGATTATATTAATTCTTTTATAATCTACAATTTCGTCATTATAGTATAATTTGCCGTACTGCGAATACATTTTTTTTTTGTAATTTCGCAATTCATGCTATTTGCGTTACTTCGCACAACTTTTGCAATAACTTGTTATTTATCCTTATAATTAAACTCAGATTTATATACATTTCCCTTTAATCGGACATTCAGTATATTTAAGCTAAAACAGTTGATCCCAGTTATTTTTTTTTTAAATCTACCTCTAAACAACACTTATTATAATAAGTACAACCCTGTTTTACCTTTTCCTTCGTAAAATGTAACAGAACGTACGTAATTAATAAATTATATGCTACATTCTAACAGCGATCAGCTAACGGTCGAACGACACTAATCTAGAATGCGTAAAAAAAATGTCCCGCGTAATAAATAAAAACACATTTGAAGATTGCGGTGTTAGTTTTGTTTGCAATTTTAGCGCTCAAGTTAAGCCAGACCTTATTTATATTGAGCTTTATTTATTATAAAAAAGGGACTCGTATTTTAATACGAAAATAAGTTTTTACTTTACGTGTAATTCTCTCGGGGATTGTTTGCAGTCCACTTAGGGAATCTATCCGTCTAATGATAAAAACAAAGGCTCTCAACGTTCCAGGAGTTTTGTTGTCTTAGGGCAAACATAAACAAAATATACGCTAAAACTTACACACCCCTTGTAAATAATCTTTGGCTTAGATCTACCTGCTATCAATCAGCTCTATTTGTCTCTGTCACTTAACATAGGGGTATTAATAACTTGCTAGTGTTTAATCTCTTTAGGCCAATTTATTTTCCGGTAGTATAAAACTTCATTCGTAAGTCAGATAAAATTTAAATAATGCGTCTTAATGTTAACAACGACAATAATTTGGTTATCCGTATATCTATAACTATCTGATACTTTCAGGGAATTTTGCAAGCGCTGGACCAGGCAACAAGATATCTGCTAACCAGAACTGTTATTATACACTGCCCAACACTGGTGAGTTCTTTTAATTATTTCATAGGCATTGATGGATTCGAGACCGGTATATGTCTGGTGGTCACATTGGGGAGTAACGTTATACAACATATTTATTTATATAAATTGCTGTCTGAATGAAAATGAACTGACTCGTTGAGCAGTGTCGGCTGTAAAAATGGGACGAACGGTCATCGTAGTAAGATGTCAAAACGCAATATTTTTAGCGGATTATTTTCAAATCTTTGTAGAGAGTTCTAAAAATATCACTCGTGTTTGCGAAACAAAAGTCAACGCAAATAGAAACTATTACTAGCGGTTTTGGAACAGTGATAGTTATCTTCCGATATTCGAAACACGGTTACTTATTTCTAAACGTTAATCTTAAGCCTTAAGTACGGTTCAGTCTCACCATTCGATAAAAAAATATCGTTAAATCTACGCTATAATTGAGTGCGTTTAGTTCAACCGCGCAAAAGGGAGGGGGGGTGCGATATTGGAACAATTTACCAAATTTTTGCGATGGGGTTACATAAACATACAGGGTGTCCCGGTACTTGATACAAAAAAGTCGAGTAGGAATAGATGAGGTCAAAGTTCTTCATATAAATTTTTTTCATACAGGCCTTCGTTAACAAGTTACAGGCCCTCTAACTTTTTAATTTTCACCTTTGAGGGCCCGTAACTTGTTAACGAAGGCCCGTATGAAAAAAAATTATATGAAAAACTGATATTATTTTGACCTTTTTTGTATCAAGTACCGGGACACCCTGTATAATAGAGTTAAAAAAATATCCGATAGGTTTATTACATTTTAAGGGGTTTATTTAATGTTACTGATTTTTCCTATGGTTTCGAAGAACGCGCCGATAAAAATGAGAGAGATGATCGTGGAGTGACATTTTTTTTAATAATATTAATTAATGGAATTTTTGATTTATACTCGATATTACATCAGTAATTTGTTCCGTTCGAGTAATACTAATAATAATACCGTGCTGGTATACTTAGACGAATCGGCATAGAGCGGTGTAAAAGTCCTGTAGATACGCTAGCAGTTGATTCATTTGAGGCCTTTCTGTGGGACAATTCAGCCAGCAGTATGTCATCACGGCAAACCTGAAATAAATAAAAGTTAATTCGATGTTAATTGTTTCAAGGTCAGGATATAGAGGCAGTTACAATGAATGTATACTAATAGAATCTCAGTCGAGAAATAATCGTCAGGCATGTATGCAGTAGAAATATTCTAGCTGTTGCTGAATATAAATTTGCGACTGCTAAATCCGAAAAGTTTTAAGGAACGTTCCTTGTTATGTTTATGACACTTCGTTTAGATGTTTCTTTTTGATTCGTCAAATCAAATATAAAAAACGCGGGGAAGCAATTATAATTTAGTTTTAAACATCGTAGAATTCCTTGAGAACAATATATTAATAATTTATGTTCCGCCGCTGGTCAATATAAATATTGTGGCTTACGTAATAATCACCAATATATTTCTAAAACCGTTTAAACATTGTTTGCATATTAAATAATGATATTATGTGAGAACGAAAACGAAAGTGGTCATGTCGAAAGGAAAGCGAAAACGCGACGAAGTGGCTGGCTTACAGTTCATCGGGGCAGCCGAGAGGCTGGCCAAGCCGAAATCCATTCCTTAGGTACGTGCTCATCTCGAACGGGTCCACGTCTGGGAACGGCTGTTGGGCCATTGTGGTTAGCTCCCACAGGACTACGCCGAAGGACCACTGCAAAAAAAAAAAAATAAATGAATAGGATTATGTTCCGAAGCGCAGCAGCAGCAAAAAATTTTCATTGTAAAAACGGCGTATAGTTTTTTGTTTTCGATTAGGAAAGTATTCGAATTCTTCGAATCTAATGTTTGTGCACCTAAAAGGACTACAAACGAAAAAATACAGGGTGATTCACAAACGGTGACCAAAAATGAAACCTCGTATTCTTTGGTGAATTTTAAGGGGTCTTTCATATAAAATTTTTATTTCTTTTTTCGAAAAACATAATAGAGTAGTAATTTGTAGAAAATTGAAAAACTCATCCGAAAATATCATGGTTGTTACCGTAAAGCAGTGGCGTACTATTTTATTTAGAAAAACATGCCACCGATACCCTGTATCTCCGCCACTGGAGCTCCTTAATTTTAGGAAAAGGCCTCAGATTTTGGATAATGTTTACGTAAATAAATGTGCCCAATTTCAAATTATTTCACTAGCTAGTTTTTAAATTATTTAAAAAAATTAAATATATTTTTTGAAGTTTAACACCCTGTATGTTTTTAATGAAGAGTCCGAGATAAAAACTTTATACGAAAGACTGTCCTTAAAATTCACTAAAGAATACAAGGTTTTTTTTTTTGGTCACCATTTGTGAATCACCGTGTATTTTCATGTACTCGAACGATTAGTGGAAATAAAAAAAACATACCTGTAAGGTATGGTTTGTCACAAAAATCACAATGCTCGTCTAAATAGACGTCACAAGCAAAAACATATCGCATTTTCGCAATCTAAGCCCTCGAATTGGTTTTGGACCTATTCAAAAGACTAGTGAAAATTAACCAAAACGATTCCGTATGGCAGCTAGCGTAGGTGTCGTATTTTTGGATAATATTTTTATCAGAGAACATTATAAAATGGTATATCGGTGTTAGGAAAACTCGAAAATGTTATCGGTTTGTCCAGATTTCGTTTATTTTCGGTAATATAGAAGAGAGAACTTTCAGACTTTTTAGAAATGAATATTTACATTTTTCTAGTTATTCGAAAGATTAGTAAAACCAAAAAAAAACTTAAAAGTAGCTCTTTCTTAAAAATATTTTTTCTGAAAAATTAAATAACGTAAATAATTAAAGTAATTTGTATGGGTCACTTTTATTTTCCGATATATGGTTGACAATCGATCTCAGAATCTGGACACCCATTGAAACCATGTTCCACATAAAATCTGATGATAATTTTCGAATCTATGCCCTCGAATATAGGGGATTTATTTTTAGAATTTTCAGGGACCAAATAATTTTTAAAATTTTTTCAAAAGTCTAGTAAAAATTTTAAAAACTAATTTACCCGCGAAGGTAATCCCGTTTACTTTCCGAGATTTAATCGGAAACAATCGCGGTACACGCAAAATATTTCCCTGCTGAATCGGAACGTCTCAAACCTTTCAAGCAATAGGAAGGAATTTCATCAACTGCTTTGAGACATTGCCTTTTGTTTATGTATTATTTATGCTGGTGTGTAACAATTTCTTAAAAGTGAAATTCTATATTACTAAATTATATGACATGGTAATAAAAATACTCCTTGCATGATCAGAAATCTTACGCCAATAACGAACATTATAAATAAAAAAATAATACTTGATTACATTTTTTAACAGTGATGGGTACCTTAAGGACAAATAAAACAAATTCAGGAATAGGGATAAGTAGAAGTTAATAATTTTTACAATGTTCTGAAATGCTACAATTTTTTTTAACAACGCTTTCGTAACGCCAAGCTTTCGAGTGACTTTGGATTTTATTCCCTGTTATTTTTACGTTTTGTTTGTGATGGGTCAACTTTTCACGGTACTTTACTGTCTATTAAACTTAAACTTCAAATCGATTTCATATCCTCGACACAATTTTTTACATATTTTTTACGCAATTGTGAAAACTATTTCTATTTTAAACCCGAGTAGTAGTAAAAATCGTGCTCGTGCATTTCGAAATATTTTTAAAATGTAGGGTATGTCACACTTCGTTAGTTGTGAATTTAACCTTTTCCTGCTCGCTGAAAAAATATGTGTGGTATTCGATTTGTTCATTTGCTGAAATTTTTCGTTTCCACCCTATATAGCCACCAACTGATTCCCAGTTTCTTAAATATCGCTTATCGTATCATAAAATGTCTTTACTGATTTACTAAATTGTAAAGCGAAAAAAACTGTCGAGAGCTACGTTGTGTCTCGTATAGGACGTTGGAACGTAAATCAGGTAGTTAGGAGGCAAAATTGGGTGAATTTTTACAAGTAATATGTTACATTCTAGAAGGTGCTTTTACTTACCAATAAAGAAAATTTCAAGGTAAGCCATAGTAGCGTGTGGTAGAATGTTTCATGTTTTACGTACATGTATGGACGGAATAATTACGTAGCCGCAATTGTTTTTCATGTTTTTAACACATTTTGACACACATATTGTAGGTCGTGTAGAAAGAAATAGGTACAACTCTTGGTTAATAAGTTCCCTTTAAACAGAATTTTATTTCGAGGAAGTACAGATCAATTTAACTTTTAAAATATTCTTTCCAGTTTTCCAAAAGCGGTTGAAGATTATTTCCCTGATTTGTACTTGCGTAAATTTCTTTGCTTTATACCGAGCTTAAATGTAACACCTTTCTCTGGCATTAAAAAAAGCGTGTCTTTAAAGAACAAATTCTCACTCGCTGAAATTCCAAGAATGAATAATAATAATTAATGCCTTAAAAATCGTTATTCAACTGCATTTACTAATTGACCTTCACTCCGTGACATTCAAATCATAACAAAATGAACTAGCCTGGAGTGGTACGGCATAGAAGTGCAGATATTTTTCTACAAAAGGTCGGTCGGGGTAACGCAAATTTCGACTTCAAAGTTGAGCGTATAAATTTTAGTAATAAATTTGAACTAATACCAAAAATTTAATTATGAAAGAAATGTCCTGTTAAGAATTCAATTTGCTTGCAGTACAAAATGGATACGTAATTTTAAGGGAAACGTACATAAATTTCATACCCTGTATTTTATTCATTAGAGAATGGCATATTATTAGCATCCAGTTAGTCAGTGTTCCACATATACGAAATTTGTTCATCAACGTTAAAAACAAGACGTTTCCACTGAACCATCACTGCGTCGCCGTCGGCACCTTTGTTATTTAAATATGATCATCTGTGACCTTGAACCAGCTGTCACTTCGTAGCCGTAGAAAAAATAAAACGATCTCGCTTATTATTTTCGCCGTTCTCTACGTTCGTGTCTATAATTTCCATCTCAAGGATATTTAAACAAAATTAAGAAAAGTTAAACAACTGTTAAATTCAAGTTGTTGGATTTCGGGTGCCTGTCGAGTGGGTAGATAGTTTTATGAATTAATTAGTTATATTGTCTCATCACCTATATATTCAAGTGATTTAAATGAAGCGAAACAATGGTATATTTTTCTAGAAAAACTTACGTAATGGTTCTGTTTTGTAATTGATACTTTTTGCGTCTAATTGTTCTTTAATATGGCGCATGTGTATTGATTTCAGTTGATATTATTAACTAACAACAATTAAGCCTTTGTTGTGAAAGTAATGACCGTAATAAATATAAATGAAACAAGAAAAAAAAATACCGGTAATTATTGGATTTTATTACCATTTATAATAACGATAGCACCTTCAACTTTATTTCTCATCAGCCTCTTTCGCTTACTTTCAAATTTAAAGTAAAAAGGAAATATAAAAGTAAAAATGTACGTTTTCAAGGTGCTCAACTATCTCGCACTTTCAAAACAACGCACACAACGCTGGGGAAATTAAATTTTAGGTAAACGGCGACCTTAGAGAATTCTTACATTATCATATATGCACACAAAGAGATGTATAAAAATTGAAGAGGTGTTATTTGATGCTTTGCAGCCAAGGTTGTTAACCTTGGTGGCCTTGAATCGTGCTTCATTCAAACATAACGCGGTGGTCTCTATAGCAATCAGACGCCGAATATTAATTCTTCGCTTGCGGTTGCCAGCTATGACGATCTTTTAATGTCTAAATGCAAATGTAGTCGGTTATAGTAATTTTCTTATTAAGGTTTACTTTCACAAACCATATTCGACTATGGTGCACGGTAATTCTACGTTTGCTGACAATTCTGAATCTGGCCAGTTTCAGCGGTTTTATAGGTGCGGCGATTTTTTTCTAGAAATGGCACATTTAGCAAGTGCGAAGTTTCGAGATGAAAGAATACAATGCAGCTCGTAGAATTAATGAGGTTTTATATTTAGACAGAATTTCATGGTCAACTGGTATTAAAAATTATATTGATCAACCCTGAATACTCACGTTAATGTATGAAAGCGTCCTTATTTAGCTTTTACCCATCCTGAACCTGAATCTAACAATATCGCAGCGAAAATAGGCATTATTTTAAAAACAGACATTAAAATTGGAAATCAGTATAGGAATTGCAGTATTTCAACTTAAGTTCCGATTAAAAACGATGAATCACGGCAATTAAACTGTAAATCGCGAAAAAAATTAACGTACATATAAAATGTTGGTATCTAAATGTCATTATTAATGATGGTGCTAAAACTCAAACTGAAACATCTAATTCAAGGCCGGCCTGGTAAACAATGAAATTATCTTATCACGGTGAAATAAATTGTAAATTTAAATTGCAAAATAATAGGTAAAGTAATAATTAAGTTTTTATTGTCATTCGATATTAGTTTCAGTTATTTTTACCTGCTGAAGTAACAGAAAATTATTTTTTACCCGGCTGTGTCTTAATAGAACGGAACTTGGTTTTTAGCTTTCTATGGCGAAACCTCTAAAGACACTATCTCGGCATGACTGACAATATATGACTAAGTCTTATATGTTTTTTCCCCGACTGACCTTTATCGCTGAATTTCGAAATAGAAATCACTCACTGCGCTAGGAAGCCGTAAATGGGCCGCTTTCATCACGTCGGATTTTCGGAAGTGTAGCAATTTTTTCTATGAACCAGGTTGTAGAAATATTCACCAAAAATGTAGTCAAAATGCACTAAAAGTGTATGCATACTAAAATTTGAATACTTCCGAAAGAAATCTAACACATAATAATTCAAAAGTGTGGCAATTTTTTTTCATATATTTTAAAATATACAAAAAAAACAATATACAGGGTGTTAGAAGATTGACTGCTTTAATTTTAACAGACGATAGAGTACATTAAAATAAACAAAAAAGTCCTAAACTCAACCATTTCCGAGAAAAAATTATCAAAATCTCCCACTTGATGTACAAAAGTTCAATTAATTAAGGAATATTGACATAACTGCGTGCATAGAATACTATATATTACAATGTTTGTCACTTTTTTGATCTTCTTTATGCTTAATTCTAAAAAATAATTAGCGTTGTAATAAATTTAAAATTCGGTAAAATTCATACCGAGCAATGTGACAACGGCGCGGCGGATAACACGAGGTACTAGGCTTCCCCAGCAATACGCAATTCAGTTGGTATCTGGAATTGGACCGTGTCCGAGTGTTTTTTGCGTACCACTATTTCTTTTTCTTGAGGTGTTTTCCAGCGGGTGCGCGAAAATTATATTCGACGGGTGTCGTGCGTGCATAGAAAATGGTGATGGACATTTTGAGCATATGTTGTAGTTTGTTTTGTATTTGTGCGTTTAAAAATTACTGTATTTTGCTTTTTGGTAAGTACCTAAATTATTTTTAATACGTATGATTATTTGAGTACTTTAATTATATATTTTTCAAATTCATAATTCGATTAAAAGTCAAATTCCTGTTGTAAGAGATTCATAATTTCTAAAATTCCAGCTAAAATTTAAGCTCAACACTATCTTCGTACTACAAAATCCATACATTTTATTTTATTTATTTAAAAACTGGAAAGCAATTGTCTTGAAATTTACTAAATGTTTCACAATAATAGCTGTTTACATTTTTTCCGTAGGACAAGTCTGCCGCGTGTACACGTGGTGTGCATCAGTAGGTTAAGCGCTGTTGTCACTTTGTGATGAAACTCCCCAATATTAATCTTACGCCCCTGTAATATGCAACATTTTTGTTCATTTACGATTACTCTATCTCATGCTGAAGTAATGGCAGTCAAAAATTCTTACACCCTGTATAATCTTAAAATATATATCTTTTTTTTTTCCTTACAGTATAATACTTCAAAAGTAACGAAATGAAAGGATGTCTCCTCGCTCCCATTACATCAAATTTTCGGTCGAGTAGAAATTTTTTCAAATTTAGATTTTTTATATAAAAATATTGTTCAGAAGTGTAGTAATTTTTCTCCGCATATGAGGAGATTAAATGGTATATTCCAGATTCGTACGCAACATTGTAGATTTTTTGTAAAGTTATAATTTTTGATATTAGGTTTTTTTATCGGTTAATAAAAAATTAATGTTAATGTTAATTAAGTAAAATTATAGATCGTAATTTTCTTTCACCTTGATAAGTACAGCATAAAGAATAATAAATTGATGATTTCCTCTAATTAATTTAAAACATAAAATAATTTGAAAAACTTTACATATTTGAAATATTCTTCAGCTCCTTACATAAACATTGAGAGAATATTTCCTTCACAAAAAATGATTTTTGAATTGATCCGAGAAGCCCATATTTTATGGTGATGAAGAAATCTTATTGTTAAATTAGAAGTAACGAACAATAGGTACAAAGTAACTAAGATAGTTCTTTATTATATAAAATTATTGTTTGTCGTTAATTTGTCACGACTTGAAGGAAAGTGTACTAATATTTCCATTTTTACATAAAAATGATGTCGTTTTTAGTAGTTTTTGACTCTATGTTGTGAAAATCTTTATTTATTATTAACAAATAGAACTTTTGAAATAATTTTTTATTAAGTAAAGAACCAATTTGTTATAAAAATAATGAGAATTATAATCATTATTATGTTAAAAACGACGAAAATCGAAAAAATATTTAAGTTTGACCGGTTATAACTCGGTCAATATTAGTCCAAAAACTTTTAAAAACGCATCATTTTGAAGGGAATCTCATCTAGTTTTTTTGTACAGTAATATTCTTTACCTATTTCTACTAAAAAAAATAGTCCAAAAAGTAAAAAAAAATCTTATTTTTTGCTTTTTTTAAAATTGTTTATTAACAATTTTTTGCATAAAATTTTTCTTGCATGCAAAAAATCGTTCATAAACAATTTAAAAAAAGCAAAAGATTTTTAAAAATATCTTACTATTTTGACTTGTGAAAATCTTTATTTATTATTAACAAATAAGACTTGAAATAACTTTTTATCAAGTAAAGAACCAATTTGTTGGAAAAATAATAAGAATTATAATCATTATTATGTTAAAAACGACGAAAATCTAAAAATATTTAAGTTCGACCGGTTATAACCCAGTCAATATTAGTCTAAAAACATTTGAAAACGCATATCATTTTGAAGGGAATTTCATTTAGTTTTTTTGTACAGCAATTTTCTTTGCCTACTTCTACTAAAAAAAATAGTCAAAAAAGTAAATAAATAAAAAAATCTTATTTTTTGCTTTTTTTAAATTGTTTAGTAACGATTTTTTGCATAAAATTTTTCTTTTAAATTTTTTAAATAAGCCATTTCGATGGGAAATTCAATTCTCTAAAAAATGTTTCCTATGAGCTATACCGAAATTTCGCTTTGTTTTCGTGCTATATTTAAAAAACTGCAAATGTGCATTTTCACCCCTATCTTCAATTTCAACCCTCTAATTTAATAGCACACCGGGTTTTTTTTATTTTAATGACCCTTCGAACAAGTCATGTGATGAAAATCCTTAAACGTCTTATTTCCTTCCTTTTTTGCAAAAAAATGAGAATTAAAACGTATGAGGTTAAACGCGACATAAATCGAAAAATTGGCTAATTGTAAGTTTGAGCGGCCATATATCAGTCAATTTTCATCCAAAAATACTTTACAACCTCTTATTTTGAAAAAAATTTTATCTACTTTTTTTTTCTATGAAGCAATGCCTATACCTCAAAAAAAAAACTAGACAAAATAAAAAAAACGAATTTTTTGCTTTTTTTTCAAATTGTTTATTAACGATTTTTTGCATAAAATTTTCCTTTTAAATTTTTTAAATACGCTATTTCGATGGGAAATTCAATCTTCTAAATAATTTTTCCTACGAACTATAGTGAAATTTTGCTTCGTTTTCGAGCTGCAATTAAAAAACTGAAAGGGGTGCATTTTCGCCCCCATCTCCAATTTCCACCCGCTAATTTAATAGCACTCCGCAGTTTTTTCATCTAAAATGACCCTTTGAATGCAATAAAATTGCTTGAACGTCATAGTTCCTTTTAACCCTGTTTTTTTTTTTAATATAATCAGTAGCCTATAATTTACCCCACCGCACACACCTCTAAACACCTAAATTACGTTCAATGTAAAAAAAATATGAAAATAATGAATAGTTGTGGAAATATTCAGAAACGTGCTGTTTATTATGTTTTTTTATAACCTTATAACAATTCAAAAGTGTAGCAATTTTTTTATGTACCAAAATATTCGCAAAAAATTGTGTAGTTGTGGAATTTTCAGAGGTATGTTAATTACATTTTTTCCAACAATATAGTAATTCAAAAGCAACGAAATGAAACGACGTCTCCTGAGAATTTTACGCAACGTACTCGAATCGAGCTGCAGTCAGTACTCTATTTTTAATTGTGAGACACCTGGGGTCATCATGTTCGCGTTACGTTTTCATTAAATGTCAACGTAACCCGAGTATTAATTTATTCTAAAGGGCATAAGCGTTTTAATAAGGCGTTCTATGTTACCGCGTTTTATTCGCCTCCTTTTAACTCGTATTTCTTTCACCAAAATACGCTCATATACCACAATAAACATTAAAAATATATAAACACTGCTTCTGCAAACTCACCACATCTGACTCGGCTGAATATTGATTGTAGATCAAACTCTCCAGTGCCATCCATTTAACCGGTTTGCTTTCTTGATCGGCCAGACAAAAATAGTCATTCGGGAACATGTCTCTGGATAGGGAGTTGTCGGTTATCTTCACTTGAAGTTTTTCGTCGATTCTGCAAAGAAACTGTCAAAACTGGAAAAAATTCAGGGAAAATATACGTACACCGCATTTCGTACAGCAGCGTCTTTGTAGCATACATTTTGGCTGTGCAAATACATGATCCCTAGAAGAATCTGGATGGCTATGTCGACAAGATTCTGAGTGGACAGCACTAAGTTGTCTCTCTTTTGGCGGCATTTTATGAGATATCTGAAAAAATGCAATGTTTCTTTTTAATTGCCGTTGTAAAATGCGACCTGTACGCCCATGGCGGGTAATAAAATCCAGTTAAGGGTTGCGCAAACTTACCTCTTCAAATTACCCCTATTAGAATAAGGGTAGACCAGTAATGGTTGTTTCGGATCGTCCAAATTCGCACATAAGATGGTTAGGACGTTTTTGTGCTCCATGCCATACATCATCGTCCCTTCCGCTAGGAATAAACCGACTAACCTTTTCGAGGCCGCTTCTGCGAAATGAAAGATTTTACGACTTTACAAATTTTAATGGGTTTTTATTAGAATACTCAATAGAAACGGAATGATTTTGTTTTGTGCGGCGTATTTATAGGATTCGCCATAAAATCTTTATGGGAACGTCTGCAGATTGTCGTAGGCCTCGCACTGATCGAATTGGACCTCGTCGCAATTTTATTTATTTACTTTTACGACCAGGCATTTACAAAATAGATCGCTTTTATTTATTTTTTTTTAAAACAGAATATATCATTGCATCGTGACACAAACTTATATTTATATAAATCCAAATATTTAGGCGAAACATTTTTTGGTCCACTCTGTATATGTTTTTAAAACGATGGACAACTGTTTGTTGTTTGAGGAAATGTACATGCAACAGATCGGACAACTGCTGAAAGACTATTTATATCCATTGTTTCCTGTAATCGGTTTCACATGTACAGATTTTCCCGTTCCCATCAAGACGCCCTCTGGACAATCCGCAGCCAACTCACCTTTCGTGGTCTTTATTATTACAGTTTGCTGTCTGTAAGTTCCTTGGTAGACTTTACCGAAGATCCCTTCTTCGGCGATGCGATCTAAGCTTATGGTTTGGCGGAGCACGGACAGAGAGCGCAGACGTTTGGCCGGATTCACTAGACGCGGATCTTGAAGAGAAACCTGTAAATTCGAAATATCTTACGCTGGGATTGAATAATTCATCTGTTACAGAAATATAGGGTGTACAATTTGTACAGTTGTTCAACATCAGAATATTTTTAAGTAACTCTCAGTAGACACATTTTGGCGTTAGATTGATTTTTAGGACTATTAAGGACGGGATTTTGTACAAAAAATATCGCCCAGCGTGAGTCACGAAACGGGACCCCGGCAGGTGCTGTTCTAGCGGCCAACGCTTCAAGTCTAATAATTCCGCTGCACCGGATATTCGTCCGATTTTTCAGGAACGGCTCCAATTTGTGTACATACAATCTTATAAGGAAAGAGAGTAAATATTTTATTAATCAGTAATAGATTATCGAGGACAATAATATTTTTTTATTGAGTAGGCAATAATTTTTAGTTAATAAGCTTAAACAATCTTATAATTACTATTCCTTCATTATAAAAACAGAAATACGGTTTTTAAAATTACATGTAGTTTCTTCTTCAAAAGTGACCTTAAAACACGTATAACATGGAATAGTCAACAGTCTAATGTTTATATTTTCACATTAACAATGCGATAATGTAAATTAACTGCTATTTTCAGTAAAAAAAATATATACCTAACCTGAATTATTTTTTTACTTTGACGAGTCGTTTTAACTTAAAAACACTGCTTAATTACTAAAATATATAGAATCTTGCTACTAATTGCGTTTGGAGAATAATATGTATAGGCATAAAATATATATATAATATTACTGTATGTATTTAGTCCATTGAAATGAAGGCTGAACCTCCATTTTTTCCTCTGTCGATCAAACCTGGGCGCAAATATGTTTTCGACCCTCAGGAATCCGAATCCGCAAAAATTTTTGACCTAGGTGATCAGGCAAGGGGTCAAAAGGTCAAAAACCCGTAAAAATAAGGTTTTTCGCAAATATCGTAAACTACGGCAAGTAGCAAAAAAATAATTGCACCATCGTGTTCCCAGGGAAATTTTACATCGATTTTATGCTATTGCTTATTAAAATTAAATAAATTTATGTCATGTTTTGGACAATTACCAAGCAATATAATGCGATTTCAAATATAATTAGCCTGCAGTTATAGTGGATCTGAATTCAATTGCCAGATACACTATTTTTTTTGCTACTTACTTTAATTTTTAAATGGAAAACCAAAAATAATACTAATGAAGAACAGAAAAAAAACTTTTTTAGAACGAAATACTTATTGCAAAAATGAAATATAGTGCTCTGAAAAATCGACTTGTAAAGCTTATTCTACAAATACTAAAAAAGTCAAAATTTGTATAAACAATTGTTCCCAGAATGACAACTTTTTATTTCTAAATTTTGAAGACTTTTGAAGAATTGAATAATGAATAAAATAAGCCTAGTAGTCCGGGCGAATTAGGTTTTTTTTCAAAAATCGGGCCTAAATCTAATCTAAATAAATTTTAGTGTCATCTAGACACTTGAAGGAACACAGGAAAATTTGGAAAATAATTTTTAACTTGACTTTTGTTAAAGTTATTCAATTGTTAATGAACTAATTTTTCGTGGACTTAATCTTTCATAAAATTTGTTGTAAAAGTTTAAATAATGTATCTAAAAATTTTTTTCTTTCTCGAAGGTCTTTTTATATACATAATAAACAAGATTCCGTTGTAAAAGTTTATAACAGTTTTATCATTTGTTTATAATGATTTTTAAAGTTAACAAAAAATGAAAAATCCGGGAAATGTTATAAATTTTTTTTTTACCAAATGTTTGATTTTACTTGTTTTTCTATTAATATATTGCGTTTATTAACTTAGCTATAACAAATTTATAAACAAATGGACAAGTTTAATATTTTTGAAACATTTTTTTGCTATTTTATTGTCTTGGTAAAATAATGATTTTTAAAAACAAAAATTTTTCTTGAATAAATTTTTTAATTGTTTATAATCGTTTTTTTGATTTATTTGTCATTTAAATTATTTATTAAGAATTTTTTTTTAAATCATCATTTGCTATTATCAATATAATTACAAAAAAAAAATTATTCAAATTTTCATTGTTTATTTTATAACTCAAAAGTTCATTGTATTCCGTAAATATCTTCCAGGCTGCACAATTGGTTAAAATTTTGAGTTTCTGCTCTTACAAAAGTTAAGTGTTTAATTAAAAATAGACAAAATTGAAGAAAACAACAAGAAGAATATAAAATATTGACATTAGTTAGAAAAAAAGTACAGAAAATCCAGAAAATGTACCCTTAATCGTGTGATAATTTAAACAAATAAAAAAACATCGTAAACAAATGGAATAAAAAATATAAAAAAATTTTTATTGAGTAGTCCAGTAGTTACTCTATAAAATTGTCTTAAATAGTGGAATCCGTAACTTCAATAGTTTAAAAGTTTTAGTCATTTAAAGAATTAGATAATGCATTTTTTTATATACAAATGTTTATAAAAATATAACCATTGTAGATATGAAGCAGGTAAAAAAATTCATGTTATAGATCAATAAATTATCTAAAAGATCTACCTGAATGTCAAAGACCGTATCATCAATAATTTAGAAATTATAACAATTTATAAGTTTATCAAATAGGTGACCGTTTCAGCTTTGATGTGATAAAGTATTTAAAAATGCAATAAAAATTAGAAAAAAATGTTATTTACCACTTTGATGCACATAGCTGTATTTATAATTCGTTAAAGTTACGAAAAAAAAATAAAATGAAAATCAGAATTTGTTTATAACAAATTGTTTATAAAATAAACAATGAAAATTTGAATAAATTTTTTTTTTTAAATTATATTGATAATAGCAAATGATGATTTAAAAAAAAATGATTTCTTAATAAATAATTTAAATGACAAATAAATATAAAAATCGATTATAAACAATTAAAAAATTTATTTAAGAAAAATTTTTGTTTTTAAAAATCATTAATTTACCAAGACAATAAAATGGCAAAAAAATGTTTCAAAAATATTAAACTTGTCCATTTGTTTATAACAAATTTATAAACAAATAACGTTAAAATTTTTTTAGCTAAGTTAATAAACGCAATATATTAATAGAAAAACAAGTAAAATCAAACATTTGGTAAAAAAAAATTTTTATAACATTTCCCGGATTTTTCATTTTTTGTTAACTTTAAAAAATCATTATAAACAAATGAAAAAACTTTTATAAACTTTTACAACGGAATCTTGTTTATTATGTATATAAAAAGACCTCCCAGAAAGAAAAAAAATTTTAGATACATTATTTAAAGTTTTACAACAAGTTTTATGAAAGATTAGGACCACGAAAAATTAGTTCATTAACAATTGAATAACTTTAACATAAGTCAAGTTAAAAATTATTTTCCAACTGGGCTGTGTTCCTTCAAGTGTCTAGATGACACTATAATTTATTTAGATTTTTAAATTAATATTGAATACTATAAAAAAATTATTTTGTGTTGCACACTTTGCTTGGCGGCGACGCGACGACGCGGAAACCGCCGCCGCCGCGCGGAGCTATATTTTCAACGTCAAATTAAAATTATAAATAATGGAGCTACAATTCCTGACTTATTTTGCTGAAATTTTCTCCTCTTTCAGGATCTTTTTTGAAATTTCAGCTATCTTCAATATTTTTTTAGTTATAGTTAAAAAACGGAGACTCCCTTTTTTCTCTTCGTTTTTTGTTTATAACAATTGCTATTTTTAATTGCGGATAAATTAAAAAATACTTCTTTCTCTGAATTTAATTCCGAATCCAATGTACTAACAACCATATTTTTAGGATTACAATAACTATTTTTCGCAAAAAAAACTCACTTCTCGACTAGACTAGTGGTTTCCTTCTTATCGGTAAGTAGCTACTGATTTGTAGATTGAAACAGAAATCTACCTGAGCCAGACCAATTTTTAAGCTGTAAATTTATTTTGAAACTACCAAGGCTACAATATAAATAACGATTTTATGTGGGACACCCTGTACGTAAAATTTAATCTTTATTCTTAATAAAGAAAAATTAGTACATATTATTGGTTTTTTATGCGTTATATTTTCGTACTACTTAAGCTTTACAAAATCTTATTACTTAGGTACCTACCTACTTTTAAAATATTACCCATATTTATATATCAAAGATAATATCAGACCATTATGGGTCCCATATTCTGTAAATAGTGTTTTCCGCAAAGACAAATAATTTCAAACATTTAATAACTGAATAATCTAAAGCTTATCAAATAATAGGAATGTTATGTCATGCCACCTGAGTATTTTCAAAGACGCCGGCCGCAGTAAAACGAATAAACAGGTGCAAAAAACGATCAAACCATTAAGGTTTTAGGTACTGAAATCTACGAAAATACTATCTTTTTTATATATAATTCCACATGTAAATATTCTTATAACATTTACTTGCTTAGTCCTACATATAAAATTGTTTACTTTTTATAAGTACGTGAAAATAATTGTTAAAATGTGGGGTTAGGATAATAGCAAACGCATGTTTTGCAAACGCTTTTTTTTAGTTATTATTTTATTTGGGTAAATTTAAACGGTAACCATGAATAAACAAAACATCAAGGATTTTATTTTTGTGCTTACCCCTACTTTTGTTCTACACGTTTTACTTTTAAAGATTTCAGTACCTAAAAACGCCAGAAATTTCACTATTTCTCGGCCAATACAATTTACAATAAACCAACTCTGTGTTTTCGCTTTCATTTTCAAGGGTAGCGACACCTGTGACAGAGTACACAAACTAATTTTATTTAGAAATTCTTGTAGAAGATAGAAACCGCTAAAATTCTGGTTTAAATATATAATATAATATAATATAACATGGAGTCGTGTGTAAAATGTTGTCATCTTACTTGAGGACACAAATTATAGAATTGTTAATAAATATTAATCTGAAAATTAAATACAAATGATCCTAAGTGTCCGTTCTAGTGAGTGAAGTAGTTTGGTTATTGTGCCTGACCTAGTTCCGTCGTAAATCCAATATAT